TGTAGCAACCCTTTTTTTTCTCAATGTACATGCGCATGTAGTGCTCAATGTACATGCCCATGGCTGCTAATGGGGAATGACAGACAGGGAATTCGGCTTTTAGTCAACGCGCACGCTACGATTTTTTTATTGTTCAACAACGCACAGGAGATAACTCCCACCGGCACCACCTTGCAGGTCAAAACGTAAGACTGGTTACAAACTACGACTAGGACTACGACTACGACTACGAGGGACGAACGGGTGCCGCTATAAGAAGCATCGCCCCTAATAAACTCGTTCTAAACACAGAACATTTTCAGAGCTGGCACCAGTTACACTGTATGTGAGGTCCACGGGACGGCTTCACGCTCTCCCATAGTAGAGTACCCAATGCTCACAATCGTTAACCCCTTTTTCTAAGCACGTTTAATGCCTAATGTGGATCTTAATTGGGGCCCAAAATCAGCAACTTTTCTTTCGTTTTATGCAACAGCTGTCACATTTTTTTCGCCATATCCAGTTGACTTGTCCTGGGGTAGATGTGTTAAACAATTGAATCGTTGAAACAAGAGCTGCTTTGTTTCTCCCGTTAGTTCCTCCGGCACGCCACACCCGCTGTAGTCGTGTGTCTTGGAGCACGCTGACGGCATCATTCCTGCCTGGCCACCTCCGGGACTTCACGTGGCGGCTGGGGTGGGGTGTTCTTCCTACCCTTGACGACCTCGAAAGGTGGAGAATAGTCCAGCCAGCAACATGCCCGAACTGCTGCCTACGGGAAACAGATCAGCATGTTTTAAGACAATGCGTCGTTTCTCGTGTTTTCCAGAAAGCCGTGCATGCTGCATTTCGTGGCCTCAGAGTAAACCACTTTGTTTATTCTGGACGTTGTTCTGGAGGCTGCTTCGCCTGCCTTCTCATTGTCGCTGGTGCCTACTGTCATCGGTGCAATCGCTGTGAGGCTGTTGCAGCAGGTCGTCGCCGTCGAGCTCTTTCCTATTTTGGAGCGACTGTACAAGGAAATACCATCTGTTTTGTCGCAGAAACTTTTCTTTCTGGGTGAGGTGGAGTTCCTTCGACACTGGTTCTGCCCTTTTGTGTTCGTCTGCGAGAGACGTGTAAAGCTTGTTTTCAGGCCTGCCTGGTTTTGGTAGGTTAATCTTTGTTTAGTACTCGCACAAATACCTTGTAAATACTATGTAAATACCTAACATATAGATTTTTAGATTTAATTTAGTATTCTTCGTTTACCATGTATTGTACATATGTATACATATCTTTTTGTAACAATTTTTGTGTATCGGTGCATGGTGTGTTCCGGGTACATATGTGAACATAATTTTTGTAATAATTTTTGGTGTGTCACTGGATGTTGTGTTCCGTCGCGATGTTCTGTTGGGTTGTAATTGTTCTTCACTGTTCGTGAGAATAAAATTTTTCTAAACAGGACATCTTCGGGACTTTATCTGGCGGTTGGGCTGAGGCTTGCTTCCCACTCGAGATCGGTTGCAGTGATGGTGGGTGGTTCGTACTTCCACTTGCCCCAATAGCGTCATGGTCGAAACCAATCGACATGTGACAATTGAATGTGTGGTCTCCCACCTTTCTTAACGTGCGGTCCATGCTGGTTTTCGGGGGCAGGGTGCACGAACTTTCGTCTCCAACAGCCGATTCCCTCGCGGGCACTTCTCGGCTCTTTGAATAGTTCAGGGCTGTTCAGCTTTTGGCGAAACCGATGCGAGGCCGTGGCTGCGAACTGCCACCGGCGTGCTTTGTGGCCGATACTGGGCCGAATGAGACGAGATATCCTTGCGTTCCTCTCTGAGAAGCTTTTCTTTCTCGGGAAGCATGAGTTTCTGCGGCTTTGGTCGTGCCCATTCGTCAATGTTGAACACGAAAGGGTAAAACTTATTTTTCTACCGACGTGGTGCTAAGCAGCGCCCGCTGAGTAGTTATTCATGATTTCGTTTGTAACCAATTTTGTTTCATTGCATCTATTGTATCGTTATACTATTCATTGTATCATGATATCGCATGAGTTCTTGTGTATACGTATGCCAACATTGTCATGTATATTAGAGCATTGATGTCTTCCTTGCAACGTAGTGATGTTTGTCGTGGTACATAGATGTGCCGAAGTGTATGTGCCCTATTACTGGAATCTTATGAAACCTTTGTTTTTTGTACATAGTGTAAATAAACTTTTTCTAAACGGAATCGCTTTTTGCCAACAGGGCCTCATGAAATGTGAGGCCACTGTCTCTGAGAAGAAAGTTTTCTAAACACTGGTTTTCGCCTGAGGGCCAACTACCCAGAGATCGAATTGTAGTTGTGGCGTTGCAGTTGTCCACAACGCTGGTGGAGCTACACTTGTTTGCTCGTTTCGCTTTTAGGGGCGAAGCTCCTTATAGCAGCACCCGTTCGTCCCCCGTAGTATGTAACAAGTATAACATTTTGACCTCCAAGGTGGTGCCGGTGAGAGACTTCTTCCGTGCGTTGTTGAACAATAAAAAATAGTGGTCAATGTACAAGTCAATGGCTGCTAATGGGGAATGAGGGACAGGAGCATTCGGCTTTTAGTTAACGCGCAGGCTGCGATCACCAATAGCAGCCATTGGCATGTACATTGAGCACTATCTGACAAGAAAGGGTTGCTACGTTATACTCGCTGGGTGTAACCTCCTTAGCGTTAGAAAGGTTTAGCGAGCGTTGAGCCGCAGTGCCATGAATACAATGAACTTGTATATACCATGAATGAACTCGAGGTGGTTAAAAATGGGAAGTAGATACGAAGCGCAAGCCGTAAGAAAGTAAAAGCCGAATTCTCCGCCTCTCATTTCCCCTTAGCAGCCACTGGCATGTACATTGAGCACTATCTGACTGAAAAAGTTTGCTACGTCATGCTCGCTGGGCGTAACCTCCGTGGTTTTCAAAAGGTTTAGCGAGCGTTCGGCCGCAGTGCCATGAATGCAGTGAACTAGTATATACCATGAACTCGAGGTGGTTAAAGGTGGGAAATGAACCCGAAGCGCAAGCCGTAAGAAAGTGTGCGTGTGCCACCTCTCGTTTAGTCCTTGGAATGTCCGCTGGATGGCGGTGCTTCTATATGGGGAATATATGATGAAAAGATGCGAGATAGTGTTACTTGGAGTGTTGAATAGATGGACGAACGAACACATAGACAGATGCATGGATGGACGCATGAACGGACGCAGGGGCGGCTGCATGGACGAACGCAGGGATGGACGCACGAACAGACGCAAGCACGGACGGGCTGATGGACGCATGGACGGTCACACTGACGGACGCATGGACGGACGGAAGCAAGAACGAATGGACGGACGAATTCTTCGCCCCACTCTCAATCATTCACTCCGTGGATATGCTGCCATTTTTTTTTCCTTCGTCGGCTCGTCTGTCCGCCTCTTGGAGTACCCTTCCTCAGTGTCCAAGACAAAAATGCCAGATACACGCGCATCTACTTGCAGAAAAGAGGCTTTTGTTCGCCCACTGACAGTGTCTCTTGCACTCGACGTCACCTAATAATACTGGTGATGTCATGACAGCTGTTGTCGATAGAGGAAGGGCACGGAGAGAAGCGCGTGAGTGGTTATTTGTTGTTTAGGGCCCCTTTATTACGAATGACGGATTATTTTTTTCAGATGCGAAGCAGCTTGTAGTCGAGCTCAATCTGGTTCTTGTGTGCGTGACCACTCTTACGGTGCATGCGCAACAGCTGGTCCAAGCATTGCCAGAACGTGCTCACGCGCTAGGTCGTTCGGGCCTGTGTACAAGGCTATTATAGATGAGACGCTGTGGCCTCTCCGCCTTACACTCTCTCGACAATCGTGTGACGGCACCAGAGAACGAGACTCTGCAGGCGCGTGATGAACCAACGCGTTGTGTCCTAGTCAGAACGTGCTGGCACGTGGTAGCGCGTTCGGGCCTGCGGAAGAGGCTTTGGCCTCTCCTCCTTACACTCTCTCAGTAATCACGTGATGGAGTTGGGGAATGACATATTGCCCACGTGCGACGAACCCACGTGCTTCTGCGTGGCGTGGCGATATGTGAACCCAAAAGGCGTGCTCGAACAAGAGTTCGGCACCAGTAACAGCAACAAAAACTACAGTAGATTCGGGACGTGCTCCGCTTGCCAGGAAGCGTTAACATCAGGCAAGGTGCCGTGATGAACGGAACATTAAGTCGACCCATGCGCATGCTACTCATGCTTCTATTTAGTGGGAGATGGGCTTTTTTACTTCGTGTGTATTAGGCACTATAAAATATACATTACAGAAATAGAACATGGTACTGGTTTTGTGATTGATTGATTGATCGATTGATATATGAGGTTTAACGTACCCAAACCACCATTATGAGAGACGCCGTAGTGGAGGGCTCCGGAAATTTCCACCACCTGGGGTTCTTTAACGTGCGCCCGAATCTGAGCACATTAGCATACAACATTTCCGCTTCCATCGGAAGCGATGCAGCCGCCGCAGCCGGGATTCGATCTCGCGACCGGCGGGTTACCAGCCGAGTACCTTAGCCACTAGACCGCTGTGGCGGGGCGGTACTGGTTTTCTGTGGTGGGTTCTACTGTGCGTGGCACGCAATACCTAATCTCACTCGCCATGCATTTTTGCGTTACTGCATTTCATTATTTCATTGGTTATGGGGCTTGTGATCCATGACATGTAAAATCAACGCAACGAAATCATAAACTTGTACGTAACTGGAACTTAAAGACTTTTCTTAGTTACATCAAGGTATCTGTTGTGTCTTCGCGGTTTCTGTGTGTGTGTGCGCGCGCACCTGTTGACGCCTCAGCTGGCCGCCTGCACCACATCGGACTTTTGCTACTACCACGTGCGCATCGTTATCTGACTAACACTACGCTGCCTATAAATACGTTATACACTTTTGAATAAACGTTCTTCTCATTCTGCTGACTACGTTGACACATTGCTGGTCCGGCGCTGCTATTCGCACACCATGGCTATGCTACAGTGGCGACGAGGATGTTCACCACCCATGCAGTGAAAGACGACCCTGAACCTGACACTACGAAAAATCGAGCAACCAAGGCGATCATGGCTCACCACCAGCTTCCGGACTTCGAAGAGAGCAAAGATAAGTGGACGCCATACCTTATCAAAGTCGAAGCATACTTTGAAGCGAATGCCATTGAAGACTCGACTAAGAAAAGAGCATTGCTGGTTGCTGCCTTAAGCACGCACACGATACAAGTGCTGGCAGGGAAGGTGGCTCCACGCAAGCCGAATGCGCTGACTTATGAAGAAGTCGTGGCAGTGTTGAGTGAGCACTACGACCCCAAGCGACACGAAATCACAGAAAGTTACAAGTTTTTCAGTCGATGTCAAGCGGAGGGTGAGCCCATTAATGAATTCCTGGTCGACATTCGCCGAATAGCTGATAATTGCAATTTTGGCAGTGCATTAAATCGCATGCTACGAGATCGCATTGTGTGTGGTGTCCGGTCAAGTGCACTACAGAAGCAGCTACTTGCGAAGCGGGAATTAACATTAGAAGACGCTGAAGCGATGGTCCTTTCAGCTGAAGCTACAGATAGTGGCGTGAAAAACATAAACGGATCTGGATTGACACCAGTGTTAAAAGTACAAGCGTATCAGCAGAAAACACCGCAAGACGAGAGACGGAGGGCTACACGTCAAGAATGCTCAAGGTGCGGTAGTGCAAAGCACAATGAGAGCGGTTACACCTGGTCTAACGCTCGCTGTTATCGCTGTGGAGGACGCGGTCACCTTGCGAGGAAATGCCGAAGCCGCGGTCCTCACGAGCAAGGAACAGCAAGCAGGGCACAAACCAACATTCTCACGGGGACGGAAGGTTCGACAGACGACGAACACGAAGCAGCGCCCATCTGGACCTTGGCTTCGGAACGAAAGAGTTGTCTGGTTCCACCAATTCGCCAAACGTTCTCTTGGTGCGGTGTGCAGCTTACCATGGAAGTTGATACTGGGTCGCCCGTTTGTGTTATCCCACGTCAACTGTACGAGAAGCACCGCGACCAATGGCCGAAACTGAGACCATCCAGTGTGAAATTATCCTGCTACACAGGACGACTGCCAGTGCTTGGGGAGCTTGCGCTCAGTGTTTCTCATAAGGGAGTGACGGCGGAGTGTGCGCTGACCGTGTTAGACTGTGCGGGACCAAGCCTCTGTGGTCGAGATTTAATTCAGCTGCTGAACGCCGCTGGTGCTCCGGTGATTCGCGTTGCAGGAGACTCTGAGCCCACAGAACAAACGGGGAAGTCCAGTGTGAATAGCATATTCAACGACTTCAACGACGTGTTTTCCGAGGAACTGGGGCTCATCACAGGCCCTCCGGTCAGTCTGCACCTAAAAGAAGGCGCCGTACCTAAGTTCTGTAAGTCCAGACCCATTCCATATGCGCTACGCGACCGCGTGTCACTTGAACTTGATCGGTTAGTGTCCTTAGGCGTGTTATCACCGGTGGCACACTCGGAATGGGCGTCACCTATAGTCGTAGTTCTTAAGAAATACGGCGCAGTGAGAATCCGCGGTGATTTTAAGGCCACAGTGAATCCCGCATGCGCCATTGAACAATATCCCTTGCCCATCATTGAAGATATGTTTGTGCAACTACACGATGGGGATTGTTTCAGCACACTGGATTTACGGGACGCATACAATCAAGTGGCACTGGATGAATCGGCAAAGAAAATTTGCGTCATTAACACACCAAGAGGGCTTTTTTGCTACAACCGACTGCCTTTCGGAATAGCCTCTGCACCCGCGATATTCCAAAGAAAAATGGATGAGGTTCTAGCTGGTCTGGTGGGTGCACAAGCTTACCTTGACGATGTGCTCATTTCTGAAAAATCAAGCGACAGTGGTGAAAGGCTGAAAAACGTTTTGGAGCGGTTTCGAGAGAGAGGCGTAAAGTTGAGACACGATAAGTGCAAGCTGCGCAGCCCAGCAGTTACCTATCTCGGGCATCGCATCGATCGCGATGGGCTTCATCCGACAGAGAAAAACCTCGATGCTATCATGCAGGCGCAGAGCCCCCGTAATGTCAGCGAACTGCGGTCTTTTTTGGGAATGATCACGTTCTACGCGAGGTTTCTGCCTAACATGTCGACCACACTTTTTCCTTTGTATCAGCTGCTGGAAAAGAATGCGCGCTGGCACTGGGAACAGCCTCAAGAGCTTGCGTTTAAGGTGGCTAAGCAAAGCCTCAAAGCAGCCAAGGTTCTCGTCCATTTCGACCCTTCGAAGGAACTAAAACTTGAGTGCAACGCGTCGCCATACGGAGTGGGCGCGGTCTTGTTTCACACGATAGGAAACGTCCACAGGCCGATCGGCTTTCGCTCGCGTACGTTAACGCAGGCGGAGCGCAACTATTCACAGCTCGAGCGAGAGGCACTGGCACTGGTATTTGGCGTAACTAAATTCCGCGACTACCTTCTAGGTCGGGAATTCACCTTGGTGACTGACCACCAACCGTTGCTGGGCCTGTTGAGGTCAGACAGGCAGACGCCCACAATGGCCGCTGCCCGGATCCAACGTTGGGCGCTTCAGCTGGGGGCCTACCGGTACCAGCTGCAGTACGCCCCAGGACGACAGATGCTGAATGCTGATGCCTTAAGCCGCCTGCCGCTGCAAACTACGGAAACTGACGAAGACGGTGAGCCACCCGAATATGTACTCTCGCTAAACCAGCTGAACAACGGTGTCGTGACAACGCGTGAGCTGAAGGCTTTCACCGCTTCGGATCCTGTCCTGGCAAAAGTCAAACGGTACATATTACATGGGTGGCCCAGACACGCCAACGGGCTGGCAAGGGACATACTGCCATTTTTTGACCGTAAGCTAGAGCTATCCGTTGCACATGACCTTGTTTATTGGGGCAATAGGGTCATAATACCAGCCGAAGCAAGAGTGCAAGTGCTGCAGCTTTTACATGAGACTCACCAGGGTTCGCCGGCAATGAAATCTGTCGCGCGCTCTTTGTTTTGGTGGCCAGGCCTAGACAGAAATATTGAAGAGGTGTATACTCAGTGCCAGAACTGTGTTCAAAATTTGCCGATGCCAACCGCGGCGCCCGTTGTCAAGTGGCCGGAAACCGGCGAAAGGTGGTCCCGCAATCACATTGACTACGCGGGGCCGATCGGCGGAAAAATGATACTCGTCATAGTTGACGCCCACACGAAATGGCTCGAAGCCGTACCTCTGTCACATGCTTCAACAGAAACCACCATTAACTGCTTACGTGCCATTTTCAGCAGGTTTGGGGTACCACGCACAATCGTGTCCGACAACGGGACTCAGTTTTCCAGCCATGATTTTGAGGAATTCGTAGCAAACAACAACATAGTGCACCTCCGATGTGCACCCTACCACCCCCAGTCTAATGGTGCAGCGGAAAGGGCAGTGCGTACTATAAAAGATGGCCTTCGAAAAATGAGGGGAGGAAAGCTAGAGGAGAATCTGATACGCTTGCTGTTTAACTATCGGAGGACGCCACAAAAGTGTGGTAAATCCCCAGCAGAGTTGCTCTTGGGTTACCAAATACGCTCACGGCTGGACACATGTTTTCCTCCAGCCCTTACAGGATCAAAAGAAGACCAAGAGGACTGGCTGCCGCTACCAGGAAGTGACGTATACGCCCGCAATTATGGTGCGGGGAGCAAATGGACGCCTGGCAATGTGAAGGCGACGTCTGGAGCGAGAATGGTGACCGTGAACACTCCGGACGGGGTCGTCCAGCGGCATGTTGATCAACTTCGCCCGCGATAGGACTCGCCACCAGTAACAACTGCCACAAGTCCCAGCGAGTCAGACCAAGCAACGGAACCATCGCCTCCGGAAGCGGTAAGCTCGAATGCAGGCATGTCTTCTCGGCTCATCCCTAATGATGCTGGTTCTGCACAACGTGCATCACCGAAGATCACGGCCGTCGCGATGAGTACCGGTGTCGCCCAACAAGCCGGTATGTAAGAAACTTCAGTATGAAGTGACACGTTTGAGACAGCACCCAAAAGCCGGCCATAGAATGAGCTTCTGTGACACAGGTTTTTTTTAATGCGAAGCATTTCTTAGAGAACTTTGGCGACTTTGAGCGTATCTATCTATCTATCTATCTATCTATCTATCTATCTATCTATCTATCTATCTATCTATCTATCTATCTATCTATCTATCTATCTATCTATCTATCTATCTATCTATCTATCTATCTATCTATCTATCTATCTATCTATCTATCTATCTATCTATCTATCTATCTATCTATCTATCTATCTATCTATCTATCTATCTATCTATCTATCTATCTATCTATCTATCTATCTATCTATCTATCTATCTATCTATCTATCTATCTATCTATCTATCTATCTATCTATCTATCTATCTATCTATCTATCTATCTATCTATCTATCTATCTATCTATCTATCTATCTATCTATCTATCTATCTATCTATCTATCTATCTATCTATCTATCTATCTATCTATCTATCTATCTATCTATCTATCTATCTATCTATCTATCTATCTATCTATCTATCTATCTATCCCCCTACGACTTTAAGTTCTGCTGGCCGTTTCGTTAATGGTATCAATACCAAATTTGGTATGGCATAACATGACTGTATGACGAGAATAATTGACTAGTCATAACATGACTATCTTGAGAAGTATGTCATGAATGTAATGATTTACATTTCGTGGTCTTGCTGCTCTTGCGGTGGTTCCGTTCACATGACATGTTGCAAAATAGGCATGGTATGGCATGACTGCATAGTGAACACAAGTGACAGACTCTAACGTCACTTGTGTCATGACACGCATGTCATGTAGGTCATGTGTCACGACTACACTCCCCGCTCATGGTACGCTCGCAGTCGTTTAATTAGCTTCACATATACCGAATTTGGTATTACGGCACGTGAATGGATGATGAAGGTATGTGACTCGTGCAAACATGATAATCATGAGATGCGTGTGAAGTAACATCACTACATGCTATGCTCACGATGCACTTGTGGCCGTTTCGCTAGCACCGAAATCGGCATTACGTCACGCGAACGGATGACATATGTAAATTACACGTCTAAACTTAATAATCATGACATGCGTGTCATGTAACAACATGACTACATGCCACACTCAAACCGCCAATACACTTCAACGTGACCCGGCGCGTGTTCGTTTCGTCGAGTCACGCCGGCAATGCCACGCCAGGTGCCTATCTGCCTGGCATATGCTCGCAGGCGCGCGCCGCGCTGCGTTGCCTTGACGTGTATCACCCGGCGTCCCTCCGTCACCAAGCTAAGCAGACGCGGTGAGTTCTTTATTCTCTGACGCAGTGCTGTCTGGGTAACGTCGTCGGCACGAAATGCAGCATGTCGTATTTCACTACGGTTGCCGCCGGGCCTCGCCGACAGACGCTAGTTGCATCTAGCATTAGAATACAGAGTTCTCGAGTCTGCTAGCGTAGCGTCGCTGCGCCCAGCGTGCACCCGCATCAACGCTGATTGATTGATTGATTGATTGATATGTGGGGTTTAACGTCGCAAAACCACCATATGATAATGAGCGCATCAACGCTACGTGTGCTCGCCGCCATTTTGCTAGTTTTACATTTACCAAGTTTGGTTTCACGAGACTTGATAGTACGATGAAAATATGTGACTGGCGCAAACATGATAATCATGAGATGCGTGTCATGTAACATCATGACACGCTTGTGATGCACTCGTGGCCGTTTCCCTAGCTCCACATATACCAAACTTGGTATTGCATGACGAATACATGATGAAAGTAAATGACGCGTACAAACATGAGAATCATGATATGCGTGTCATGTAAACCATGACTACATGCTACGCTCATAGCGTGCTTGTGGCTGTTTCACTACTTACCCACATACCAAATTTGGTATCACGTGACGTGAATGGACGACAAATGCAAATGACACGTCCAAACATGATAATCTTGAAATGCGTGTCATGTAGAACTGAACTACCTGCTACGCTCCTAGCACGCTGGCGGCCATTTTGCATGCTCCACATATACCAAATTCGATATCAGGTGACTTGAATCATCACACGTGATAATCATCACATGGAACTCATTTACGGCATAATTTACCACCACTTCGTAACGTTGTGCTGATTTTAAAATGATATATAAACCTTCTTCATTCGTGCTTTGCATGTAATCGATTCCCACTTAACGTGGGATCTGCCTTTTTTCTCTAGCCTGTGTTCAAAGCTGTCGGTGTGGTGCGTCCGTTTACTTAGAAAAATGCGGCAAGTTTTCACCAAGTCACACAAAGCTTGGCCGAGCGAGGCTTGTTGATATTCATGTATTTAGTCTAACGACGGATTCTAATATATTGTAAATGGTCCTTGCTAGGTCTTGCTGTGCTGTCAGCAGGTTTCGCTGTATTGTATTTAAATTTTGTATGAAGATCTGCCATCTTCGCAGTTCAAAACTTTGTGCAACTTGGTGCCAGCTTCCCGCATTTCTTTCTGTTTCTTTATTTCAACTTTTTTGTTCTCCCTCTGTTTTTCTTTCTATTCTTTCCTTCTTTTGTCTTTCTTTTTCTTTCCCATTTTTATCTCAATAACTCTCTATTTCTTGCTTGCTTCCCCAGTTTCTCTCTCTTGTTTTTTCAAGTATTGCTTAATCTTTCTGTCTCTTTCTGTATTTTTTTCTCTCCATTTGGCTATTTATCATCCTGCATCTGGTATACTTTACGCGCCATACTCCCCCTTTTCTTTTTCCTGACTCTTACATCTGTCCTCCTTACCATGACTTCCCATACGGACCCTCCTGCTTTAGACACTGGATAGCCTGGACAGCTGCAGGTGGCTGCGACGCTTCCCTATACGAATCGTGATTCGGCACTTTCGAATCCCTCCACCTGGTGAGAAATTTTCGTCATCAAGCTCTTCTCTTTATTCCACCTTTTGCTTTCTTTCTCTCTTTCTCAGCTTCTCTCGCCCCTTTGTGTACGACATCTGTCTGTCCCCCAATTTCCGTGGTGAATACCTGATCATGATAATCCATCCATCCATCCATCCATCCATCCATCCATCCGTCCGTCCGTCCGTCCGTCCGTCCGTCCGTCCGTCCGTCCGTCCGTCCGTCCGTCCATCTGTCTGTCCGTCTTAATTAGTAATATTTTAACGTTTTATAAAACCTTCGTCACAAGCGAAGTCTTAACGCAGCGAACATTAAACGGGCAGACGATTACACAGAATGCAAACAAAAGTAATAATGATTAGGGTTCACAATCAACGAACGAGTGCTGTGTGTCGTTTCTCGTTCGTGTATTCGTCCTAACGCTGCCCCATTGAGTTCATTATGAAGGGGTAATTAAAAACGACTTGTCACTATCAAGTTTCCTTTTCATCCTTCTATTCTCATGGTCTGTCTTTTTTTTTCCTGATCATACTACAGCGTTGTGAGCCGGCAGCCAATAATCTACAGGAGCGTCCCCTTTCGCCATTGACAAACCCAAAATACGTAGAAGAATAGATAACGTTGAATCCCTGAGGTGTCTGTAGAAATACCCCATTCCGTGTTACTGGATGAGATAAGCTGAGCAGTGAAGGCCTCCATGTGAGTGTTTTTTGGCCATGCTATACCTGTCTTTAGACTATACTTGTCTTTTAGCCATGCTTAGTCTATTTCCTTTTTTCTCTCTTCCTGTCCACCTCTTAACTTTCCTGTTCCTGTACGCCTTTCCACTGTCTAGGGATAAATACCTTTTTTTTCTGGACTGCTTATCATCCCTATCTTTCCTATCGCTGCCTCTTTTTCCTTACTTCTTCTGCCCTGTCAGTCGACTTCTTCTTTTCCCAAATATAGTGTAATCGACATCACCTTGTAACCTTCCTGCTTTAAACCTTTGCCTATATCGATGTCTCTTGCATCTCTCGCGGTTCTGTATCTCTTGTGCAAGTTTTGATTTTTTGTGAAAATGAACATAGGACAAATCACATATTGCTGCACATGCATGTATATGAATTAAAAAGAGACATTTCGTGTTGTCACTCATTCTTCAGCGTTATACTTTGCAGTTGCAGAGACGAGAGTGTCAATGGTGAAAATAGTGACTTCAGTAGCAAAAATCGCAGCGCTAATTGAACAATGACGACACAAGGACACGTCGGAGTTCTATGTATGTTGCGTATCTTGCTTCACAATCTACGAACAAACTCGCAATGAAAAATGTTTTACTAAAACACATTAGCTATGTTTTTCCGTTGGGGCAAGTGTGCATACGGAAAATTTTAGTCGTGTAGCTATACAGGTTTGTACAAAAATGTATTTATTCCATAGGTATATTTTTATATTCGCCTGTTCATATGCTTATTCAATATAAAGTAGACATGCTGGTAACGTGTGTAGAACGTCGCTGTCTTCTGCACAGCGCTAAACTGCTAAAAGACACGTTGCCTAGATGTGTTGCGATATGTGTAGCTATGCGCACGGAGTGGGGGGGGGGGGGGTTGCATCCTAGTAACCAATGAAACGGGCAAAAAAATCGTACACTCCCCCCTCCCCGTAAAGGGAACCCTGAGTAGTGTGTGAAGCAGCCATGGTTGAACTTGAAGTTATGTGCAGTGGTGCTCTCTATGGATGCGCGGACAGCCGCGTTGCGAGTCGTAGCCTCCACCGCACTCGTGCTCGTGTCTTCATTCACACTATTACGCTGGATGTTGTAGAGAAGGAGAGGAGTAAGTGCTTCTAGTATACAGAGCAGCACAGATCCGCAAGCA